GCCTGTGCTCCGCAACGGGAGCACAGGCTCCGGACGCGCAGGCTCAGCGGCCATGGCTCACGGGCCTAGCCGCTCCGCGGCATGTGGGATCTTCCCGGACCGGGGCACGAACCCATGTCCCCTGCATCGGCAGGCGGACTCTCAACCACTGCGCCACCAGGGAAGCCCCCCAAGTCTTTTTTTACACGCTAATAGAATGCATTATTTGTAAAGGGCTGAAGTCATCTACATTTCTGAAACCTCAATGTGTAATTACCTAAAGAATCACTAACATCTCTACTACTAGTGGCTTTTTAATAAGGAAATCTCCATTTTAGAAACCTCTTTTACTGAAAGCTCTGATTATACCTTCATAACCTGGCCAGGTATGCTATTACGATTTTCTCACTTTACTTATTTTTTCTATTTTTAGGGCCACAGATCAGGTTATCACTGCCACAAAAATGAACCTACTTACTCCACACAGGATGGTACTGTGAAGACTTCAGATGGCACTCTATAACTGGAATTAGTAAGAATACTGATGTTTCCAGTTGCCAGGGGTTTTCAGTATAGGTGTAATGTACCAGACACATAACAAATTTAACACATACCTCTGTTAAGACATCAGCAAGTTCAGCATGAACTTTAGTACGTAGAGATGTTCTGGCCACATCTATAAGTGTTTCCCTGTCCATCTCTTTGCTTACTTTGACTTGTTCCAAAAACTGAAGTGCCTTTTCCTTTGCAGCTTCAAATCCTTCCGTAATTATTCTGGGATGAAGACCCTATAATAAACACACAATTACAAAACCGCCACTAACAACAGAGACCTTCAGTTAGATGCAACTATAGCTCACGATAAAGCAAATTTATGAAGGGATATTCTGGATCATTCATACCCTTAAACACAATTAATATAATGTGCTGACTTTCTGAATACATTTAAAAGGATAAATAGTCCTTTCAATGCAGAGGAAAAGAACAGACATTGCTCTAGCACAGAGTCAAAGCCAAGGGAACTATAAAGCACACTTGGGTGTTCACTGTGCAAACCACAAGGGATAACGCCCAAAACTCAATACTGTGTCATAACAACTGGCAGTCAATAGGACCATTATATCTTTCCTATAGGTGATATGAAATTAATTCACACCATTTACTAATAAAATAAACAGGGAGACTAAGAGTCTGCTTTCTCTCTCTTCCCAGGAATTCTTCCTAACATCAGATTAGTACTCACTGAGGTTTGCTTTAACCTTGGAACTACTGAGGGCTAAAAAAGTTGTAGTATTCTTATTTAAATTCAAGGTTTTTGTTAGCTTTTTCCTTAAAAATATGCCTAATCCTGAATATTCCATTTCTACATCACAATTATTAATCTGTTATAGGCATATAAAAACTATATATGCAATGCAACTTGATAAAAAACACATTTCAGGCCAAGGAAGATTCTTCAACTCATCCAGGATCATAGTAAATTTGTGTCTGAGTACGATACAGACCCTTGATCCCATATTTAACCCCATGCTCTTTACATTCTATTATATGGCCTCAGTTACCACTAGCACATCAGTTTTTATAAGTAAAAGTAAGATTATTTCCTATACACAATAAAATATCACAGAAACACAAGAATCATGTATACTTCAGAAATGTAGAGATCCGCCTGCTTCAGGAGCTCTCCAATAATTAGGACATTGGAAGTGGTACCATCACCAGTTATGTCATCCTGGGCTGTTGCTACTTTGGCTATTAAGGAGGCTGTTGGGTGTTGAATTTGCTGCAGGTAGAGAAAGAAAAAAATTCGTGGAACAACTTAAAAATGAAAACAGCCCAAATATACCTTAAAATGCGTGAAAGGCTAATCTATCTGCACAAAATGCCCAAGTGTACAGCTACATATTACTCTGATTAAAAACTCACCATTAGCTATCAGTTTATGATGACAGAAACACCTTCCTATATAAATTTGTTTCCTTCTTAGATTATCTCCACTTTACTGATGAGGAAATGTGAGACCCAGTTAAGGTTAACTCAAGGTGATAGAACTAACAAGAACAATAATTTCAAATCCATGTTCCATGCATGCCTCTTTATGACAATTTTAAGATTCTTGTGAGAATAAACCAAGTGCCTTTTAAATGAAAGCCTGGCTGCCCAGTTTACTTGGCACTGAACAAATAATTAAAATGAAAAAGAAAAAGAAAAGAAAAGAAAAGAAAAACTTAGCCTCTTTAGCCAAGATCATCAGTGGATGCTAAGTAACTCTGGAAAGGTTTTGCAAAAACAATATTCATTGTTTGTCACCCACAGATTCTTAATTACAAAGGCTCCAACATGGCTCTTGCACTGCTTTTGTCTTCTTACACTCCTTTAATCCTGTACAGTTGTCCAGTCTTTTATGTCTTTGGGGACACTCACAGTTTTAAGAATCTAAGCAGACTATCATTCAATTAGGGAAAATTTAAGTCACGTAGAGACGGCTTTTCTGACATCAAGTTTAAACTAACTATGGCTCCTACTGTTCTCTGCTAGCACAGGCCACCACTTAAGCCACGAAACAAAAACTACACCTTCTAGGTTAGCTATTCCTTACTGAAGATATTTACAAACACCTGGAATGTTGAAGGCATGATATGCTATCATCAAAACTCTACATTTTACTCTAAACTCAAAACATAGGCAAGTCATTTCCTTTTCTAGGATTTGAACTGTTAGGTTTTGGAAACTTAGGGATGAGTAAAATGACTGCTCTTCTCAGTTAACCTCAGATTCTTAGTCACTGGGACTTTAAAAATGGTAGTTTTATTTCTCCTCCAGTTGGTGGTGGAGAAGTGTGATATAACAAAAGAAATGCTGTTTGAAAAAGTATAACCATCCTGTCGCATTTTGCTTCCCTGATTATGTCAATTGCTCTCAGTTTTTATTAGAATTTTAGTAATTAAAACCCTTTAACGAAGGCTTTAAATGGCAAGGGCAGGGGATTCAAAAGGAAGTTTATTAGACTCCAGGGCTCTCACTGTATCGTACTGTCAACAACAGTACTGATTACATTTTTTCTACTTCTTCCGTTGTCTGGAAAACTACCCGTTGAGAAGGATGAGTATGATTTTCTCCTTCTTTGTAAAATAGTAAAAGTCTTCCTACAAATCAAATGTACTACGGAAAACCAAGACATTTTGGACCTAGTCTAGCAGCCTCTCACCATTTCATGAAGCAGCACATTTCCATCTTTAGTGAGCTTGATGTCTCCAGCACCAGAAACAAGCCTGTTCAATGGGCAGAAATGAATCACAGTGTGACTTTTTCAATGGAGACTAAATTAAGAGGCCCATAAAAATCGGGCTTTACCCAGATCCTCAGGAGCTGGGGCCAAGGGTTGGTTCTCTAATTCCGGTAACAAGAATGGTGCAATGCCCACTCCCTCCCGTCTGGGAAACAGTCCTCAAGGTCTCTTAGGTCCCAAGCGCGCGGGGCAGGGAGGGCCGCGCCGCGCACGCGGGCAGCTTTGTTCTCGGCGGAGGCGGCATCGACTACCAAAGGAAACGGCCAGGGCAAGAAATAGGACCGACCCGGGACAATGCGGGGAAGAAAGGCCGCCGCGGCGAGCGCAGAGGCCCGGAGGCGGCGGGCTCTAGGCCTCAGTCCCCGGCGCAGGCCCGCGACAGCGCGAGGTGCTCGATGCCAGCCCAGCCCTCCCCGCCAGCCCCGCCTTACATCTTCATGGTGCCCTTAGGCCCCAAGTTGGTCCTCAGCACGTCCTGCAGCCCTCGGGCTGCGCTGATGTTGACCGCCAACGCCGCCTGGGCTCGGGCCACCTCAGCCTTGGGATTCAGGCTCTTCACGGCCGCCATAGCTGACCCAGCAGAAGAAAATGAGAGAACCCAGCGTCCGGAAAGCCCAGAGCTGGTTCAGCGTGGCTGGGAGGCGCTATCCGGATCTTCTGGAAAAGTCGGGCGCGCCGGGCCCGCCTCCAGCGTGCCCGCGCGCCGCCGCCATTGGGCCTCGAGTCGGCCGGTGCCACCCATTGGGTCGCGGCCGCACGTAGCCCCGCCCCTCGCGTTGGCCGCGGCGCCATTGAGCTCGGGAGGAGCGTTTCCCCCTGGCAATCAGGGCTTGCAGGGTCCCCTCCCCGTGCGCTGCCCAGCGCCCGGTTTTGCTGACCGCGGACCAGAGGGCGTAGGCGGAGCGGGCTTGTTGGCCGCGTGCGTCAGGGCGTGAGGGGAGAGGCGGCTGCTCTTTCCCGGAGGCCTCCGGCCGCAGGGTGTAGGGTGGGCCTCCTCCCTCCCCCACTCGCGCCGTTTGCCCTTTTTATCGCCTTGCTGCTTTCGTCCCGGTCAATAGTTTTCTTGACTGTGTAATGTGTGCTGGACGGTATTCTAGGTGCTGTGGGGGGGTAACAGAGTGGATCTGATAAGGACCCTCGCCCAGTATCGTAGGTGTTTTAGGCGTAGGGAAGACGAAGAGATATAATGCCAGGTGGAAAGTGCTAGAAGCCTTTAGAAAGCTACCTGATTGGTGCGATGGCAATTGAGGAAAAGCAAGAGTCAGTCCACCCTTCGGGCACACGACACTGTGCTGAGACTTCAGGCCCTCAAGGCAATTTTGAAAACTCAAACTTCGTTGAGCAGTGGTGTCCAGCCTTTGAGAGGACTCCTTTATTCTGAAAGATGTCCACAACTGTTTTCTCGTATCCAGTTCTCGCCCCCTGCCTAGATACCAGGTATTCACTGATGTTTTGTATTTTATTTTTATAGGTAATGACTAAAACTGTTCAGAAGGTGCCAAAGGGTATATGGTGAAAGGTCTTCCTACCTCCTCTAGTTCAGCTTCCTCCTGGCATGTACCTTTAGCTACATAAGTTTCCTTTAGATAGTGTGAATTCCCCAGATGCTCTCTGAATTTCTAAATAAATACGTATATAAATAAAAGAAATTTCCCCCACACAAAATGGCAATTTATAATATGCACTATTGGGTGTGTTACACTTAAAGCATCTTGGAGATTGTTACATATCAATACAAATACGTCTTCCTCATTCTTATTAACAGCTGCATGTTATTCTTTGTAAGAATTACCTGATTAGCCAGTCACCTACTGGTTAACATTTAGATTGTTCCCAGTCTTCTCCTAGCGACTGCCGTGGTATATAATGCTTTTAAGTGGCTTTGTGTATTTGAGAATCGCGAAAGCATCTAAGTTTGAGTTACACAGTAGAAGGAGATGCATGATTAGTTCTAGAGATCCTTAATCCTCAAGAAGCAGGTAGCCTAGTTAGGGAGATAAACTTGTAAAAAAATGACAGTAAAGTATAGGATGTTTTATTTAAGGGATGAATGCAGTGCTCTGAGCACAAACGTATTAACTCAGAGTATCAGGGAAGGCTTCTTGGAGGAGGTAAGTTTTGAATGATACATAGATACTTTGCAGGAGAAGAGGGCTTAGGAGAGTGATATCAGACAGAGAGCGACAGTGGAAGGGCCTGGCATGCCCAGCGGAAGGTGGGTGGATAAGATTTGCAAGAGACAAATCTGGTGAAGTAGCTTGTCCTGACTGTTAGGGCCTGGTTTGCTAGTTAAGAAGTCTGGGCCTAAGCCTGCCAGCTGGATTCTTTGGTGAGAATCCACCCAAAGAACTAGTGATGAAGATAACACTGGAGGTGGAATGGAGGATGAACTAAGGGAGAAGACTGAGGATAAGGCAATCAGAAAGAAAGGGGTTGACAAAGTCCATGCAGAAGGTGATGAAACATTTTTAATAACATAAATAAGGGGAAAAATCATGTTTTAAATAGCATGTATAATATGTTCTCAGTTTTTTAACCATTCCCCATGCATCTATACAAAAAAGGACAGAGGATATGCATCAAAATATTAACGTTGGGGACTTCCCTGGTGGTCCAGTGGCTAAGGCTCCGCACTCCCAGTTCAGGGGGCCGAGTTCCATCCCTGGTCAGGGAACTAGATCCAATGTGCTGCAGCTAAAAGATCCTGTGTGTTCAACTAAGACCCGGTGCAGCCAAATAAAAATTTAAAAAGATATTAACATTGACTATATTAAAAAAATTTATAATGTTTTCATTTTTGCAGCCCCCCCAATTTATGTATCTATAAAAGCGGGATGCAGAATTATATACATGAATATATGAAATATACAAAGTATATCCAGTGTCTTATTTTTATGAAATCATGTATATGCACATATGATTTCATAAAAATATTAAATATTTAGGGGACTTCCCTTGTGGTCCAGTGGTGAAGACTGCGCTTCCATTGCAGGGGGCACGGGTTCGATCCCTGATCGGGGAACTAAGATCCCATGTGGCACTGCCAAAAAAATACATATATATATTAAATATTTATATATATAAAGGACAGGAAAGATATCCTCAAAATGTTGAACATTTTGTTTCTACCTTTGCCAATTTTATAGGTGAAAAATAGTATCTGAAAGTTTTGGGGGTTTTTTTGGCTGCACCGTGCAGCTTGCAGGATCTTAGTTCCCCCACCAATGAAAGCGTGGATTCCGAACAACTGGTCCACCAGGGAACTCCCTTATAGTTTTGTTTGTTGAGGGTGAGGCTGAGCATACATCTTATATGTAAGAATCATTTGTAGGTTTTTTTCTGTGAACTGTCTATTTACATCTTCTGTTTTCCTATTTGGTTTCTTATGGATTTGCAGGAGCTCTCTGTGTTTTCTGTGTTGCAATTAATTTGTCCCAGTGTTATTTATATTTCGTATTTATGCCTTTTTTTCCAATTAAACGTTAAAATTTTTTTCAGGTAGTCAGTTGTATTTTTTTCAGGTAGTCAGTTGTATCTTTTTTCTTTTATGTGTGTTTGAATTTTGTGCTATGCTGTGTAAAACAAGCTTTACACCCAAAAAATATTTTTAAATTTCTCCTATGTTTTCTTTTGTATTTTTAAGGTTTTGTGTTTCATTTTAATCTTTGATTCATTTGGAAATTATTTTATTTTGGTAAGGAATGAGATAATCTGTGATATAATAAAAATATATATTTGGTCTTTGTCTGTGGTTCCTGGAACAGAACTAAACCATTTGTTTTCTGAGAGATAGGAGTGTCTTTTGTTATCCATTACAGTCCCCTTTAGAATATACCTGAGTCTGTGCTATTGAGGTGAGTCAAGGTAGGGACTCTAGATAGCCTCAGGGTGGGGGCTGGTCACTAGGAAGACCAAACGTGATTAGAGGATGGGAAGTCTCAGCCCTGTGCCTCCAACCTCTGGAGAGTGGAGGGGGGCTGGAGATGGGTTATAAAAATGCTTGAACAATCAGTGTGAGTGAACCCATTGATGTCCTGGCAGGGTGGTACACCCAGAGGGCATGCTAGCTCTGCGTCACTCCCCCAGTACCTTGTCCTGTGCACCTCTTCCATCTGGGTGTGCCTGAGTTGTATCCTTTCTAATAAGCTACTAAACCTAAGTCAAGTGATTTCCTGAGTTGTGGGTCAGTCTCAAAAATTTTCAGTTTCCCCTAAGGAGGGGATTTTGTGGGAACCCCCGAATCTGTAGCCAAGTTGGACAGAAGTGTGGGTAGCTTAGGGACCTGGGACTTGCAACTAGTGTCTGAGTGGAGGCAGTCCTGCGGGTCTGAACCCTTAACTATGGGGGTTGCCCTAACTCCAGATAGTGTCAGGATTGAGTTGCTGGACGCCCAGTTGGTGGTGGAGAATCAGATAGTTGGTTTCTGAGAATTGGTGCTTGGGAAAAACACAGAATCCAGTTTAATTTTTCTTCCAGAATAATTAATGTTTTCCACCATTAATGTGTAATATAATTATTAGCATATGCTACATTCCCAGATGTATCTGGATCTACTTTGGACTATATTCAGTTCCATACTGTTGTAAGTTTCAACACCATATTGTTTTATTTACTATAGTTTTACAGTATGTTTCAAAATTTGGTAGGGCCAGATCCTCTTCATCAATCTTTTTTCAGAAAATTTCTGGCTATTTTACATGTTTGTTTTTCTTTTTAAATAAATAATAGAATTAATCTAGTTTTTAAAAATCTTTTTTTTATTACTTTTTAAGTAAAATACATGTTTTAACAGGTGGAATATTCAAATTTATGCAATGGAAGTGGAGATAGCAAAAGGCCAGGGGCTAGAGGCATTTCTGATATAAAATTGACTGAATTTTGAAACATGTGCTACATAGTTACCATTTCTAGCCTAGGAGTCTGAAGAGGTCAAGGAAATTCCAGAAAAGGGGCAGGTTTTGTATGGGGAGGTGGGGTAACAATATTGATTTTAGGTAATGTTTCTTCTGTTGTTGGCCATTCATTCTCTGAGTGTCTACTGTGTTGCCGAGTACTGTGCTTAGAGTAAATATACACATGAAAAGAGAAGGCCCCTTCAAAGAATTCCCAGTGTAGAGAGACAAACACACAATAACATACATAATATATACAATATACTAAAGACCTGTTATGGTATGTATAATCTCAGTGCATGCTATTTAGAGAAGACTTCTTAAAGCGAATTTTTTTCTTAACTATTGAAAAAATATATTTGATTTTCTTATTACAAAAATAATACATAATCATTATAGAAAAAGTAGAAGCAAATAAATTTAAAATAAATTCATAATCTCATTGCTCAGAGGTGACCATTTGTGATGGTTAATTTTATGTGTCAATGTGGCTGGGCCATGGTGCCCAGATATTAGGTCAAACATTACTCTGGACATTTCTGTGAAGGTGTTTTTTTTTTGGATAAGATTAACATTTAAATTGGTGGATTTAAAATTTAAACATTAAATTTACTCTATTGTAAAGCAGAGTATCCTACAATAACGGGTGGGCCTCCTCCAATCAGCCGAAGGCCTTAATAGAGCAAAGACATATCTCCCCCTAGCAAGAATAAATTCTGCTAGCAGACAGCCTTTGGGCTACCAACCCTCTATGATCGTGTGAGCCAATTCCTTAAAGTAAATCAATCTCTCTCTCATTTTAACGTGGATGATGCCCTACATGTCTTCACTTTAACAGTAGATACGCTGTGAGGCTGTATATCTATATATCTAGATTGATATGTATAGATAGATATCTAGATGCACATTCTGTTGGTTCTGTTTCTTAGGAGAATCTTGACTAATACAGATTATGGTGCTGATAAGGCTTCTAAAGGAGCAGAATCTTAAGGATGAATTTTCTGAATTGGTTCTGGGGCTTTTGGAATTGGCTCTCTAATATTAGATTTAAAGACTAATGATTCTGTTTCTAATAATAAAGAGAGTAGTAGTAGTGGTATAGTTCATGGCATGTTATGAAAATAGAAATATGCAAAATATCCCAATTGGATGCTCCTAATCAAACATAAGAGGCAAGGACCTGGGTAACCATATATATGATACCTTCGAACATTTTTGTCAAACTAATGCATATAATGAGGTTGGCTGGTTGCTTCTAATGTCACTGGACAAAGTGGGGGAAGAAAAGGATGAGATCAGGGATTCAAATTCCCAGCTTAAGCAATATATAAATCACCTGAAATCTTCTATGTCTATCCTGAAAGAGACTTTTAGCTCCTATAGCCACACGGCTGAGATTGCTGAAATCTTATCATGTGAGTGGCTGAATTACAATGCAAATTGAAAAGTGAGGGCATTATGAGGAAGGAATGGGATCTGAAATTTGGAGTGGGACGTGTGAGAATACCCTGATGAAGCTGGGGACATTGAGCGCCTACATTCTGTTGAATCTTCTTTGCCAGTAGAAGCAGCCTCTCTAACCCTGTCTGTGGAGATTTACGCTACGTTGCTCTATGAAACTGTAATGGCCTCCGCTGAGGCAGTTGCCTTGCAAAATACTGGTGATTCTCTTCAGGACTCACCCCTTTTTGCTTCTGAAGCTGTAACTAGACTAAAGTCTCAGGAGGCCCTGGAGGCACAAGTAAGTTACATGAAGAAGTGGCCTAAATATCCATGATCCCAACTCATGCTATCTTACCTTCTCTCTCTCAGCCTGCACCTATGGCCTCATAGGAAGTTCCCTGTGATCAGTTGACAGAGGATGAGAAAACTTGGGCCTGGTTTACTGATGGTTCTTCAGGACATGCAGGCTCCACCTAAAAGTGGACAGCTGTAGTACTATAGATCCTTTCTGGGACATTCCTGAAGGATAATGGTAAAAGGAAATCCTCCCAGTGGGCAGAACTTCAAGCAATGCAACTGGTTTTTCATTTTGCTTAGAAAGAGAAAAGGCCTGATGAGTGATTATATGCCAGTTCATGGGCTATGGACAGTGCTTTGGCTGGATGGTCATGGACTTGGAAGAAACATGATTAGAAAATTGGTGACAAGGAAGTCTTGGAAAGAGATACATGGATTGACCTCTCTGAATGGGTGAACAACGTGAAGATATTTGTGTCCCATGTGAATTCTCACCAAAGGGTGACCTCAGCAGAGGAAGATTTTCGTAAGTGGCTAGAATAATTCATTCTGTGGATACCAGTTGGCCTCCTTCCCTAGCCATCCCTGTCATTGCCCAGTGAAGTTATGAAAAAAGTGGCCCTGGGGGCAGGGATGGAGGTTATGCGTGGGATCAGCAACATGGGCTTCCATTCACCAAGGCTAACTTGACTACCCCCACCGCTGAGTGCTCAATGTGAGCACTGAGATTGAGTGATACGACACTCAGTCCCTGATATGACACCATTCTCTGGGGTGATCAGCCAGCTACGTGGTGGTAGGTTGATTACACTGCACCATACGTCTGTCATGGAAGGGGCAACGTTTTGTTATTGGAATAGACACTCTGGATATGGATTTGCTTTCCCTGCATACAATGCTTCTGCCAAAACTACCATCCGTGGACTTAGAGAATGCCTTATCCACCATCATGGTATTCCACACAGCATTGCTTCTGTTCAAAGAACTCATTTGATAGCAAAGGAAGTGCAGCAATGGGCCCATGCTCATGGAATTCACTGATGTTACCATGTTCCCCACCCTCCTGAAGCAGCTTGATAGAATGGCAGAATGGCTTTTCGAAGACTCAGTTATTGGGCTAGCTAGGTGGCAGTCCCTTGCAGGGCTGGGAAAGAGTTCTCCAGGAGGCTTATATGCTCTGAATCAATGTCCAATATACAGTGCTGTTGCTCCCACAGCCAGGATTCATAGGTATCTAGGAGTAGAAATGAGAGTGGCACCCCTAGTGATCCACTAGTAAAATTTTCGCTACCTGTCCTCATGACCTTATGTTCTACTAGCCTACAGGTCTTTGTTCCAAGGGGAGAAATGCTTCTACTAGGAGACACAATAATAATTCCATGGAACTGGAAATTAATACTGCCACTCAGCCACTTTGAGCTCCTCATGCCTCTGGGTCAACAGGGAAAGAAGAGTTTTACTGGGCTGACTGGGGTGATTGATCCTGACTACCAAAGGGAAATTGAGGAATTCCCTGGCACCCAGTGGTTAAGACTCAGCGTTTTCACTGCAGGGCCCCATGTTCCATCCCTGGTTAGGGAACTGGGATGCTGCAAGCTGCACGGTGCAGACAAAAACAGCAACAACAACAACAAAAAAAACAAAGGGAAATTGGACTACTCCTCCACAACACAGATATGTCTGGGATACAAGAGATCCCACAGGGTGTCTCTTAGTATTACCATGCCTGTGATTAAAGTCAGTGGAAAACTATAACGACTCAATTTAGGCAGGATTACTAATGGCCCAGGACCCTTCAGGCATGAAGATTTGGGCCACTCCAACTAATAAAGAACTGTGACTTGCTGAAGTGCTTGCTGAGGGCAACAGGAACACCGTATGGGAGTAGGAGAAGGTAGTTCTAAATACCATCAGCAACCACACGACCAGTTACAGAAACGAGGACTGTATTTGTCGAGTATTTTTTCCTTATGTTATTATTAATACATGTGCGTGTGTCTTGAGCAAATATCTTTGTTTTCTTCTCTCATTCCTTTATCATGTAACATAATCATGTAACATTATTGACTTTATGTCATAGTATTTATTGTTAACTTTATAGCATAGTTTTTAAGTTATGGGATATCAGGAGGAAGAATAAACATCACCCAAGGACATTGCATCCTCTTCTGGGGAAAGGGTTAGGGTGTTTTCAGTTGTCTATGCAGGAGAGTTGTATCATGTTAGGCAAAATTATGACCTCGTTACTGTCTTTATTCGATTATTAAATTTGAGGAGATGCATACGAGTGCCAACTAGACAAGGGGTGGACTTGTGATGGTTATGTGTTAACCTGACTGGGCCACAGTACACAGATATATGGACAAACATTATTCTGGATGTTTCTGTGAAGGTGTGTTTTGGATACGATTAACACTTAACTCAGTGGACTTTGAGTAAAGCAGATTATGCTATATAACATGTGTGGGCCTCATTCAATCAGTTAAAGACCTTAATAGAACAAAAACCTTACCTCCCCCTAGCAAGACAGAGTTCTGCCAGCTGACTGCCTTTGGACTTGAACTGCAGCTCTTCCCTGGGTCTCCAGTCTGCTGCCCTATCCTGCAGATTTTGAACTCACCAAGCTTCCACGGTCACGTGAGCCAATCCCTTAAAGTACCTCTCTCTCTCTCTCTTTCTCTGTCTCTCTGTGGTGTGTGTGTGTGTGTGTGTGTGTGTGTATAGTACAGGTATACCTCGTTTTATTGCACTTCATTTTATTGCATTTCACAAATATTCCGCTTTTTACAAATTGAAGGTTTGTGACAACCCTGCATTGAGGAAGGTCTACTGGTACCATTTTTCTAACACCATTTGCTTATTTCATGTCTCTGTGTCACATTTTACTAATTCTTGCAATATTTCAAATTTTTTCATTATTATTATCTTTGTTATGGTGACCTGTGATCAGTGATCTTTGATGTTACTGTTGTAATTATTTGGGGGCACCATGAAACCTGCCCACATGAGATGGTGAGCTTAATAAATGTGGGCATTTTGACTGCTCCATCTACCAGCCATTTCCCCATCTCTCTCCCTCTCCTTGGGCCTCCTTATTTTCTGAGACACACAAATTTTTTTTTTTATATTTCATATTTTATTTTTTTTGAATTTTATTTTTTATACAGCAGGTTCTTATTAGTTATCCATTTTATACATATTAGTGTATACATGTCATTCCCAATCTCCCAATTCATAACGCCCCCCCACACTTTCCCCCCTTGGTGTCTGAGACACAAAAATTTTGAAACAGGGCCAATTAATAATTCTACAGTGGCCTCTGAGTGTTCAAGTGAAAGAAAGGGTCGCATGTCTCTCATGTTAAAAGCTAGAAATAATTAAGCTTTGTGAGGAAGGCATGTCGAAGTTTGAGACAGGCTGAAAGCTAGGCCTCCTGTGCCAGTTAGCCAAGTTGTGAATGCAAAGGAAAAGTTTTTGAAGGAAATTACAAGAGCTACTCCAGTGAACACACAAATAAAAAAGCAAAACGGCCTTATTGATGATATGGAGAAAGTTTTAGTGGCCTGGTTAGAAGATTAAACCAGCCACAACGTTCCCTTAAATCAAAGCCTAATCCACAGGAAGGCCCTAACTCCCTTCAATTCTATGAAGGCTGAGAGAGGTAAGGAAACTGCAGAGTAAAAGTTTGAAGCTAGCTGAGGTTGGTTCACGAGGTCTAAGGAAAGAAGCCATCTCCATAATGTAAAAGTGCAAGGTGAAGCCCCAAGTGCTGATGCAGAAGCTGCAGCAAGTTATCCAGAAGATCTAGCGAAGATAATTAATGAAGGTGGCTACACTAAGCAACAGATTTTCAGTGTAGATTAAACAGCCTTATATTGGAAGAAGATGCTGTCTAGGACTCTTATACCTAGAGAGGAGAAGTCAGTGCCTGGCTTCAAAGCTTCAAAGGACAGGCAGACTCTCTTGTTAGGGGCTAATGCAGCTGGTGACTTTAATTTGAAACTAGTGCTCATTTACCATTCTGAAAATCCTAGGGCCCTTAAGAATTATGTGAAATCTATTCTGCCTACGGTTTATAAATGGAACAGCAAAGCCTGGATGATAGAACATCTGTTTATAATATAGTTTATTGAGTAATTAAAGCCCACTGAGACCTACTGCTCAGAAAAAGATTCCTTTCCAAATATTACTACTCACTGACAATATACCTGGTCACCCAAGAGCTCTGATGGAATGTACAATGAGATTAGTTTTCATGCCTGCTAACACAACATCCATTCTGCAGTCCATGTATCAAGGAGAAATTTTGACTTTCAAGTCTTATGACTTAAGAAATACATTTCATAAGGCTATAGCCGCCATAGACAGTGATTCCTCTGATGGATTTGGGCAAAGTCAATTGAAAATCTTCTGGGGACTTCCCTGGTGGTGCAGTGGTTAAGAATCCACCTGCCATTGCAGGGGACATGGGTTCAAGCCCTGGTGCAAGAAGATCCCACATGCTGCGGAGCAGCTAAGCCTGTGCGCCACAAGTGCTGAGCCTGTGCTCTAAAGCCTGTGAGCCACATCTACTGAGCCCACGTGCCAAAACTACTGAAGCCCGTGCGCCTAGAGCCCGTGCTCTGCAACAGGAGAAGCCACCGCAATAAGAAGCCCGCGCACCGCAACTAAGAGTAGCCCCCTCTTGCCACGACTAGAGAAAGCCCATGCACAGCAGCAAAGACCCAACACAACCAAAAATAAATATAAATATATTTTTTTTTTTTTTAAAAAAGAAGAAAACCTTCTGGAAAGGATTCACCATTCTAGATGCTATTAAGAACGTTAAGAAAATATTTGTACTTTATGGGAAGAGGTCAAAACATCAGCACTAATAGGAGTTTGGAAGAAGTTGATTTCAACCCTCGTGGATGACTTTGATGGGTTCAAGACTTCAGTGGAGGAAGTAACTGCAGACGTGGTGGAAACAAGAGAGCTAGAATTAGAAGTGGGAGTCTGAAGATGTGACTGCATTGCTGTAACCTCCAGATACAACTTTAATGAATGAGGAGTTGCTTCTTATGGTTGAGGAAAGAAGATGGTTTCTTTTTTCTTCTTTACTTTTAAAAAAATATTTATTTATTTATTTTGGCTGCACTGGGTCATGTGGGCTATTTTTTTAGTTACGGCATGTGGGCACTTAGTTGTGGCATGTGGGCTCTTAGTTGTGGCATGCGGGATCTAGTTCCCTGACCAGGGATCAAACTTGGGCCCCCTGCATTGAGAGCAAGGGGTCTTAACCACTGGACCACCAGGGAACTCCCAAGAAAGTGGTTTCTTGAAATGGAACCTATGCATGGTGAAGATGCTGTGAAGATTGTTAAAATAACAAAGGATTTAGAATATTACATAAACTCAGTTGATAAAGCAGCAGCAGGATTTAAGAGGACTGTTTCCAGTTTTGAAAGAAGTTCTACTGTGGGTAACATGCTATAAAACAGCATTGCACGCTACAGAGAAATCGTTCACGATGGGAATACTCAATTGATGCAGCAAACTTCATCACTGCCTTATTTTTAAAAAATTGTGACAGCCACCCCAGCCTTCAGCAACCTGATCAGTCATCAGATATCAGCAATACGCTCCTCTAGCAAAAACATTACAACTCACTGAAGACTCAAATGATAGCAGTTTTTAGCAGTATTTTTAGATTAAGGTGTGTATTTTTTTTTTAACAAATAATGCTATCACACACTTAGTAGACTACATTACAGTGTAAACATAACTTTTATATGCACTGGGAAGCCAAAAAATTTGTGTGACTTGCTTTGTTGTGATAGTCACTTTATTGGAGTGGTCTGCAGTATCTCCAAGGTATGCCTGTACGTACACACACACACACACACACATCCCTATATATGTAAAGATATATATATATATATATATATATACATAACAAAAATCATACAGTATTTGTCTTTTTGTGACTGAATTATTCCACTTAGCAGACGTCCTCAAGTTTCATTCGTGTTATAGCATATTGCAGAATTTCCTTCCTTTTTAATGCTGGACAACATTCCATTGATGGTATATACCACATTATGCTTATCCATGCATCCATTGATGAATACTTGGGCTGTTTCCATGTTTTAGCTATTGTGAATAATGCTGCCATGAAACGGGTGTACAAATATCTCTTCGAGACCCTACTTTCAATTCTTTTGGGTATATACCCAGAAGTGGAATTTCTGGGTCATATAGTAATTCCAATTTTAATTTTTTGAGGACCCATCATACTGTTTTCCACAGTAGCTGTACCATTTTACATCCCCACCAACAGTGCACAAGTGTTCTAATCTCTCAACATCCTCATCAACACTTGTTGTTTTCTGATAGTAGCCATCCTAATGGGTATGAGGTGGGTATCTCATTGTAATTTTGATTTGCATTTCCCTTAGGATTAGTGATGTTGAACTCCTTTCATGTGCTTATTTTCTATTTGTATATCTTCTTTGGAGAAATATCTATTCAAGTCCTTTGACCATTTTTGAATTGGGTTTTTTTGTTGTTGTTGAGTTTTAGGAGTTCTCCGTATATTCTGAATATTAATCCCTTATCAGATATATGATTTGAAAATATTTTCTCTCATTCTGTGGGTTACCTTTTTACTCTGTGGATACTGTTTCTTGATGAACAACATTTTAAAATTTTCATGAAATCCAACTTGTCTGTTTTTTATTTTGTTATGTGTGCCGTTGGTGTCATATCCAAGAAATCATTGCCAAATCAAATGTTTTGCAGCTTTTGTCCTTTTTATTCTAAGAGTTTTATTGTTTTAGGTCTTACATATAGGTCCTTGACCTATTTGGAATTAATATTTGTATAAGATGTTAGGTCAGGGTCCAGCTTCATTCTTTTTCATGTGAATATCCAGTTTTCCCAGCACTATTTGTTGGAAAGATTGTTCCCCCCATTGAATGGTCTTGGCACCCTTGTCAAAAATCATTTAACCATAGATGTTTATTTCTGAGCTCCCTATTCTATTCCATTGGTCAATATGTCTGTCTTTATGCCAATACCGTACTGTTTTTTTGTTTTTCATACTGTTTTGATTACCATAGATTTGTAGTAGTTTTGAAATTAGGAAGTGTGAGTCTTCCAGTTTTGTTCTTCTTCAAGGTTGTTTTAGGACATATACAGGGTCCCTTGAGACTCCATATGAATTTTAGGATAGGTTTTTCTATTTCTGCAAAAAATATCATTGGAATTTTGTTAGAGATTGCATTGAATCTACAGATTGCTTTGGGTAGTATTGCCATTTTAACAATATTGAGTCTTCTAATCCATGAATATGGGATGTGTTCCATTTATTTATATCCTTTTTAATTTCCTTTAGCTCTCACCTCCTTGGTTAAATTAATTCCTAAGTTTTTTGGTGCTATTGTAAATGGAATTATTTTTAAATTTCTTGTCAGATTGTTTATTATTGGTGTATAGAAATGCAACTGATTTTTTCGTGTTAACTTTTTTTTTTTTTTTTTTTTGCGGTATGTGGGCCTCTCACTGTTGTGGTCTCTCCCGTTGCGGAGCACAGGCTCCGGACGCACAGGCTCAGTGGCCATGGCTCACGGGCCCAGCTGCTCCGCGGCATGTGGGAT